GCAATTTTTATTTGAGGGAAAATTCTCTAGATATAAAGGTGATAGAGCTTAATTCATAAGGCAAGGCACTGAAAATGCCTGGACGTGTCCACAACCAGAGTGGGAGATATAAATACACCTCCTTAGAAATGAAGATTTTGGGACCTGCCCATGGGTCACTTGGTAGAGCGTGGTGCTGACAACACCAAGTCATGGGTTAAGATCCCCTTACTGGTCATCTTTTTTAAAATAAAAAAGAAATGAAGATTTTAAAAATGAGCAGAAATTAATGGAAAGGAAGATTAAAAAATCAAAAGAAAGGATCAATTAAAGCAAAAGCTGATACTTTGAAAAATATTAATAAAATTGACAAAAGATTTACAAAATTAATCAAGGAAAAATAAGAATTCCCAAGCAAACAATATTAGGAATGCAAAGAGGGATGTAACTATTGTTATACAGAGATTTTTAAAATCATAAGAATGTTATGAACAATACTAATCATTTTCTTTAAAATGTAAATTCTTCATACTGGTTCAAGGTGAAAAAGAAAAATTTAAATATAATTGTATAAATAAATTAAATCAATAATAGTATTTTGAAATCTACCCACAAAAATAACATCAGACTCAAATGATTTTACCAGGTGAATGTTACTGAACCTGTAAGGAACAAATGGTTCCTGACAATAAAAGAATAATTTAAAAAAAAAAAAAGGAGGGAGGGGGCAACTATCAAAACCAAAAAAAAAAGCATGCACAAAACGAATCTTACAGACTAGTTTCAATTATGAATATAGTAAATCCTAAGTAAAGTGTTTACAAACCCTGTTCACCACATATTTTAAAGATACATTACGACCAAATTATTCTCATCTGAGGAATGCAAGAATGGTTCAACATTAGTATATCTCATAACGTAGTTCAATACGTTAATCTTCAAACGAAAAGTATTATCCTAATTGACCTTATTTCTTCTATTATAATCTATACTGTTTCTTATGTAGATTATAATAGCTCTTGGAGGTGGAGAGTGTTTCTTGTATCCCCTGCCCCCATAGAGTCTCACACAGCATGTTGCATATACTGGATTTTCAAAAACGATTCATCCAGCCACTGCAGTGTCTTAAGTGATGCCTTCCAGAGTTCCTCCATTTATTCCTTCACTCAGCAAATATTTATTAAGCACCTTCTGTGTGCAGACACTGTTAGGCTATGGGGATACAGGCTGAATAAAATATATTTCTCAGCATATAAATTCTACTAGCCAGGCAGGGCATTTAAAAAACATAAAAATAACTATGTTTTACAATAAGTGCTACAAAAAGAGGTGTGTGCAAAATACCACTGTGGAGGCCATTTCACTAAAGAAGTGATATTGAT